TGTTGGCTTTTTTGGCAGCTGCTGCACACGGCTGGCTCATATTTAAATGGTTGTCCACTAGGACTCCAAAATAAAGAGGCATCATTAAGCCGCAGTTGGCTTCATCGGAGGCATGGAGCGATTCCTGAAAGCTTCTGTTGATTGCCCCTTGGCTCAAAGTCAGCAAATTCTGTCGTTTGTTGGGAAGTTGAATGAACATTCGGCTAAACCATGATTTGCCTAGCAACCCTCAGATGGCGGCATTTGCAAAATTGCTGAGGCATAAATGCAGATAGTCCTTCACTGAACGACTGTTTGTTGAGTGACTGTTCAAAGTCACAACGGCACCGGAAAAAAAAAGATCTGTGACTTGTTATTTTCACACGACCGTTGGAGGTCACATGGTCACCATTGTCAGATGACTGGCAACCGGCATGAATTTATGATGGTTCCACCATCATAATGGGATCTCTTTTTTTGCGACTTTCTGACTGTCCGACAAAGTCAGTGGGGAAGCCAGCTTCACTCAACAACCCTGTTACTAATTTAACATGCGCTGTGATTCATTCCTGCCTAGGCAGGGGGTTGGACTAGAAGACCTCCAAGGTCCCTTCCAACTCTGCTATTGTACTTAACAACTGTGGCGAGAGGTCATAAAATGGGGCAAAACTCGCCTGCTGTCTAGCTTGGCAGCAGGGCTCAATTATGGTTGTAAGTCAAGGACTACCTGTAATAGATTGTGAACCAAGTTGACTGATTCCCACAATCTGGGAAGGTAAATCTGAACAGTCCCCATTATAATGCCAGGGCCTAGGTGTCCCCATTGTGTTAAGAGAAGGCAGAGAGGGGACAAGAGGAAGATTTGATCCCCTTCCATCTTCAATAACTCTAGTCCCCCTTAGTGGGTGTCCTTGACCCAGTGGCTCAGTGGCTACGACGCTGAGCTTGTCGATCAGAAAGATCGGCAGTTCGAATCCCTAGCGCCGCGTAACGGAGTGAGCTCCTGTTACTTGTCCCAGCTACTGCCAACCTAGCAGTTCGAAGTAGAGAAATAGGAACCACCTTTGGTGGGAAGGTAACAGTGTTCTGTGTGCCTTCAGCATTTAGTCATGCCGGCCACATGACCACGGAGACATCTTCGGACAGCGCTGGCTCTTTGGCTTTGAAACAGAGATGAGCACCGCCCCCTAGAGTCAGGAACGACTAGCACATATGTGCGAGGGAAACCTTTACCTTTATCGTGACAAATTATTTTCAAAAGAACGTGACTTTGGACAAAAGGAGCATCCCTCAGTCAATTAACAGTACATAATAAAGGAGAAAGTAGGTTTGGATGATAGTGGCTGCCTGGTTGCTAAGCATCTAATGGGGAAGAGGCCTGTGTGTTTAAGGGAAGCACGTTTAAAGGAGAAAGAGATTTGGTAGGTTTGTATAAAATGTAGGAATAGAGTAGAGAAAATGAGGAAGGGTGAATGTTTGCTAAGTAGTAAAAGGTGAGGGAAATTGAATGAGAAGAGATTCAGGATAGATAAACAAGCATTCCTTGACTTACAACAGTTCGTTTAGTGACACTTCCAAGTTTGCAACGGCACTATAAAAAGTGACATTGCCTTTTTTCACACTTACAACAGCCACAGCATCCCCGTGGTCACGGGATCAAAATTTGGACACTTGGCAACTGAACTTAGTGACGGTTGCAGTGTCCTGGGGTGTGTGTTTCATGGGGTCCCCTTTTGCGACCTTCTGACAACGGGGACACCAAATTCACTTAACAACCGGGTTGCCAACTGAACAAACCTCAGTGATTCACTTAACCACCGTGGCGAGAAAGGTCGTAAAATGGGGCAAAACTCACTTAACAAACGTCTCACTTCACAGCATACATTTCGGGCTCGATAGTCGTAATTCGAGGACGACCCGTAACAGAATTGGGAGGAGTGTTCTAGCCCAACCTCCTGCTCAAGCAGGACAAGTGGCTGTCCACTTGAAAGCCTCCCGTGATGGATCACCCAAAACTTCTGAAGGCAAAGCTGTCCCACTGGTTAATTGTCCTCACTGTTAGGAAGTTTCTCCTCCATTCCAGGCTGATTCTGTCCTTCATCAGTTTCCATCTGTTGTTTCTTGCCTTGCCTTCTGATTGAAAACAGGGTAACCCCACTCTTTTTTATGGCAACTCCTCAAATAATGGAACAATATTTGAATAGTGGAGGCCGTAAGCAGGGTAAGCATTCAAAACAAAGGGGGGGGGGGGCTGGAGCACGGATTTTAAAACCATTGCGCCTTCCCCCAATATTAGAGGGAAATATTTAGGGCTTCCTCTTCTTGGTTATATACTACTAGCCGATAACCCAGCATTGCCCAGGTATGTTATGTATTTATCCTAATTTTCCAACCTAATTTGGTTGGAGCTCCCTTGTGGAGTACTATGAAGCCATTACCATGGCAACTCCACTGTGCTGTACAGTAGACGCCATCTTAAGGCACGACAGCCTGTATCCTAACAGTATCACACTAATGCACACTATCACCATCAAAAGTACTGTGATTTGACACTACAGATAAAATTCATTCCTTTTCACTTCAGCGGCCCAGGCATTCCAATGTTATGCTGGAAAACACACACACACACACACACACACACACACACACACACACACACACACACACACACGTTAGGAGTGTCTTACCCAGTGGTGAAATTCATTTTTTTTAAATTACCGGTTCTGTGGGCTTGGCTTGGCTTGGTGGACATGGCAGGGGAAGGATACTGCAAAATCTCCATTCCCACCCCACTCTGGGGCCAGCCAGAAATGGTATTTACCGGTTTCTCTGGACTACTCAAAATTTCCGCTACCGGTTCTCCAGAACCTGTCAGAACCTGCTGAATTTCACCCGTGGTCTTAACCGCTACAGTATTTGTTTCCAGAGAGTAAGTCATCTGTGTACCAAGTTTGGTTTAAATTGCTTGAGGCATTCCAGAGTAATGCTGGAACAAATGAACAAACGAATGAACAGCCACACAGGCAGTTCTGTGTACATACATACATACATACATACATACATACATACATACATATTACAGGGTTTTTTTTCCCTTCCCTGTGCTTTCTTCTGCAAATACCATGAATATGAACACCAGTTTTACTGAAGGATTGCAGTAACCAGATTATTGGAAGTCTGAAATCATGGCTTCCCTTCTTTGCCTTCGCTTTCCAAGGAATCGGGGGAAGTCCTTTCTGGCTTACTTTCTCTATTCCTGTTCCTTCTGTGGGCTGAGAGGTCTTTTACCTGACTGGTTGTGGCTCTCCTCCTATCTCTCAGGGACACAGGTAGCCCTCAACTTACAGCAGTTCAGTTAGTGACCATTCGAAGTGACAGCGGCATTTAAAAAAACAACGTATGACCATTTTTTCGCACTGTAGCATCCCCACGGCCACATGATCAAAATTCAGACGCTTGGCAACTGGCTCATATTTATGACGGTTGCAATGTCCTGGGTATCCTCTTTTATGACCTTTTGACTAGTAGGGAAGCCAGATTCACTTAATCACTATGTGACTAAACCTAACGACTGCAATATTCACTTAATTGTGGCGGGAAAGATCTCACAATGGGGCGAAATCTGCTGAACTGTCTCGCTTAGCAGCAGAAGTTTTGAGCTCAATTGTGGTCCTAAATTAAAGACTACCTATGTTTCCCCTGATTGTTGCATCCCTTCCCAATGTAGCAACTTCCACAGGTTTTTATCCTGAGGCAAGGTAGTCAGGTAGAGTAACAGACAAAACGAGAGGCAGGCAATTGTGTGTGTTGTTGTTGTTATCTAGGGATTAATCCCCGTGTCTTCCCACTTTTAGCCTGACATGTTAGCCAATAGGTGGGCATAGAGTATCTCTTAGATTTAGTTAGTGTAACCTGGTTTCGTTGGGCGAACTGCAACGGGAAGGCTCACACAACACACTAAGCCAAAGCTAGGCCAACTCCTATTAAGGCTTAGCCGTGTGTGAACTCCGCTTCGTTCTCACACATTCAGGTTGGAGTCCAAATAAAGTTGAAAACCAAAGAAATGTCGTTGTGTCGTTTGATATTATGGGAAACGAGGGGATTTGGTCATCCCAACTGGCTTTGCTCTGGAAGATTTTTGGGGATGACACACAGACAACGAAGATTGGTTTTAGAATGAAGAAGTTGAAAAGAGGTTCTTCATTATTTAGCAGCTGAATATTGGGAAAATACATCCTTGGGGTAAAGTGTGTTGTATTAGGTTGATTTGGGAAGAAAAAAGGGACAGTATTAAACCTTAATTACTGAGGTCATTGTGAACCCAATTGTCTTCTCCTAATCAGAGTAACCAAGTTGGAAGGGGCCATGGAGATCTTCTAGTCCACCCCTCTGCTGAAGCGGGAGACCTTATACCATTTCAGACAACTGCCTGTCCGGTCTCTTCTTAAAAGTTAAATCGCGGCCATCTGAAACAGGACTCCCCAACCCCTGGGCTGCAGCCCACTATTGAGCCTTGCCCCATTCAGAAGCAGGCGGTGTGACGGTGAGCATGGGTCAGAGGTGGGTTCCTACCAGTTCGCACCTATTCGGTAGAACCGGTTCGTCAAATCTACCAAACCGGTTAGAAGAGGTTCCACCAGTGGAACCGGAAAGCAGGCCACACCTACAGAAGAGGTTCCAAAATTTTTTGAACCCCACCACTGGCATGGGTGCACCCACAGCTGCACCGCAGACAAACAAGCGTGTCTTCACCCGCAAAACTCCCATTTGCGTAATTGGCGGCCGCTTTTACTCTTGCACAAAGATTCATTCGCTCCCACAAATGCAGCGGAGTGAACCTGTGGCTTCCACTTGCATGAAACAACCCCCTCCCCCCAACCTTCTGCACCTGGCCGCCAAGCCGAAAAAGTTGAGGTCCGCTGATCTGAAGATAGTTAACTGGTTAACCAAACCTTCCCATCCATTCTTCAGAGCTGCAGAGCGGTTAACTATTAGGCGCTCCCTCAGGAGCATCTCTCTCCACCCTCCGGTCAAGATCTGGCAGTATGAAAGAACCTCCCAAAAATTGATGGTATCTCTGAAGCTGCTTGCTTGGCATAAAACTAGCATTTGTGGGTCTTGGACATGATTGGAGGGAGTGCGTGGAGCTAGTTTATATCCAGGTTAGGGCAGTGGTGGGATGCAACCGGTTGAACAACTGGGTTGGTGAGGGCTCACTTCATGCATGCGCGCAGCATTAAAAAAATGACCTTTTAAAGCGTCAAAACTTTTATGTCAGCTGAGGTAAAAAATGGAAATATAGACCAGGAAAGCGGTCCGATCCGGCTGAATCCCACCCCTTGGTTAGAGGGATTTGGGCTGATGGAACTGATTTGTAGGGACAGATCAAATAACTAGGACAAGACTAGTGGGTTAAATGAACCTAAAATGCTCAAAAGCCCTCATAGCGGGCCCATGACCCAGGAAGTGAACATGACGAAGAAGAAGCTAAGGGTGAGGGTACAACATCTTGGAAACTGCTACTCAATTCAGTCAAAAGGGTTTGGGGTTTTTTTTTTTTTGAATGCTAGGGAATGTCATCTTCCTGAGCTTTTTGGCAGCTGGAATTGAGGTTCCACTTAAGGGATAAGCTACGGATAAGACTTCTTATCTGATGGTGATGTCTGTATCACTTTCCTCTTGCTGT